ACACTGGTTGGTTTATTTTGTTTGTTCTCTGCTTGATATTAACACTGGTTGGTTTATTTTGTTTGTTCTCTGCTTGATATTAACACTGGTTGGTTCATTTTGTTTGTTCTCTGCTTGATATTAACACTGGTTGGTTCATTTTGTTTGTTCGTTATGGCTGCCTTTTAGGTTTTGCGAACCCAGGCTCTTGGGATTGCTTGGAGGTAAAAGAAAAAAAAAGGTTGGAGGAAGGAGAAGCCGGGGAAGAAGATGAGGGTATATCAGTAATTAAAAATTAAAAATTTAACATGTCATCAATTTTTGCTACGTGGAAAATCCACGTAATTTAATAAAAAAAAGAAAGGAGTGTTTCCGTTAATTAACTTGCCACGTCAGCTAAAATTTAACGGAGGGACTAAAAAGGGGCCGGATTTGTAAACAGTAAGGATCAAAAAGGGGATTTTTTCGATATAGGGACTAAAAAAGGGCTTTTTCCTAGAGTAGAGGGACCAAAAAGGGTATTTAACCTTTTTTTTATTTTAATTATGTAAAAAATCCACCTGGTACAACTTGATAATATGGTCAAATTTTTTATTCTAATTTAACCTTAAAATCATTTAATTACAAAATTACCTTTATAAATATTTTAAAGATTATTTTGTAATTAAAAGTACTCACTTTTAATTACTTATTTACCCCCATCTTCTTCCTTCCTCTAGCCTCTTTTTTTTTTTTTTCCCTTTCAGATCTCGCCAGGATCTTTGCGAACCCAGCGTTGGGTTCACCTAGGTTCATGACGGGAAACCCATCACTTGGGTTCGCTTGGGTTCGCGACGGGAAACCCATCACTTGGGTTCGTGTGGGTTTGTGACGCGAACCCAACGCCTGGGTTTGTGTGGGTTTGTGATGCTAACTTAGTGCCTGGGTTTGCATCACGAACCCAGTGCTTGGGTTTGCGTCACGAACCCAACGCCTAGGTTCACGTAGGTTCATGACATTAACCCAGCACTTGGGTTCGCAAAATGAACCCAAGATCTAGGCTGGGTTCGCGATGAACCCAAGATCTAGGCTAGGTTCGCGACGAACCCAGCTCCTGATTTCATTTACTGATTATGTTTGAATGCTAGGACTTTGTATTTCGTATTCCATTTTTCGTTTTCACTGTCTCTGAACATGAATGATGTGGATTTAGCTTTTGAATTTTATTTGATGATTAGATCATTCTTAGGAACGATTTTGAGTATTATAGTTGGAGATTTGAATCTCTTCTATTATGTATCTTGCTTTTTATATTGGATTTTAGCTTACATCTACTGATTCTAAGTATGAAATATTTTGATTTCGTGTTTGAATTTTGACTATTGATTTGATCATTCAAAGAATTGGATCATCGTAACGAATCCAGGTTCACGACAAACCTAGCGGCATAAGACAGATGGGGGAAGAAGATGAGGCAAGAAAGGATAAGACAGAAGTGGGAAGAAGATGGGGGTAAATAAATAATTAAAGTTAAGTATTTTTAATTATAGAATAATTTTTAAAATATTTATAATGGCAATTATGTAATTAAATGATTTTCAATGTTAAATTAGGCAAAAAAATTTGGCCATGTCATCAAGTTCTTCTAGGTGGATTTTCCACATAATTAAAATAAAGAAAAAAATAAGTTTTTCCGTTAGTTAACTTGTCACATCAACCAAAATTTAACGGAAGGACCAAAAAGGGATCGGATTTCAAACAGTAAGGATCAAAAAGGAGATTTTTTTGGTATAGGGACTAAAAAGAGGTTTTTTCCTATAGTAGAGGAACCAAAAAGGGTATTTAACCAATCATATATATCCTAATTATTTTGACGTGAGTTCCACAGCCATTATAATTATGGTTTCTAAAATCCTATAAATACTCATCCATGTTATTCTGAAGAGGCTGTTCCTAGGATTCTATTTTCTTCTCTTAAAAAATTATGTCAAAAAGTAACTAAACTTTCAATAAAATTGTGGAGGATCTTAATTGAGGAGGAGTGTGACTTGTTATTTTATGTTGATTCATTCACAGATTTTATTGTTTAATTTTATTTTTGAAAGATTATTAATTATTTTCAAATTTGAAAATCCTAAAGATTATATTTATCAAATTTCATATAAGATTAGTCATGCTCTTTTTATGTGTAATTTGTTAGAATATAATTAATTGGTAGATTTGTTTTGCGGGTTGATCCTTTACTTGAGTATTGTCAATTAGATATATTGTCGTTCTTGAATAACTCGTAATGATAAATCAGTTTGTTGTTCATTGAAATTAATTTCTCTCCAAATAAATACATTAGTTATTATTATTGGTTTTCAAAGTTAAATTTTTCGATTGTTTATTTGAGATGTGAAACGTGCAATTGAGTAATAAATAGGAATTAAAATTTATAACAATTAAACAAATCAATTAAGTGAATCCTGAAGTCTTGTTCATCATAATATTATTTTCAATATTTTATAATTATTATCTTTTATTTAAATACTTTTATTCTTAATTTCAGAATTCATATTTTAATTTAATTTTTCATTATGACAACTCTTTTTGTTGGTTTAATATAATTTCCTTGTGGATTCGATACTTAAAGCTATGTTACAATAACCACTTAGCGAGATTTTAATTTTGGGGCAAGACATCACTAGCATGGTTGCCGACAAGAGTTAAGTGGTTTTCTAGCATTTGTTGTCTCATCGATTATGATTCTCTTATAGATCTAAGACTAGCAAATCAGGTTCAAATTGAGATTTGATTTTTCTAGATTTAATTGAGATGTGATTTTTGTAATGAAATTTGTAAGATTAGAGAAAATTTGTTATTGAAATTTGTTGATTATAACAAATTGGTTGCTGTTAATTTTGACATATTTGTGACCAAAATTTGATAAATTCTATCATTTTTTTAGAACCATGATAAAAATATATATATAGGACCAAAATTTAATATATTTGAGATTCATTGATTTGTTGTTTGGTTTCTAAGAAAAAATGGAGAGAGAAAAATTCATGTTGGTGTTGTTTTCTTACTGGGTTGATGTGGTTTTGTTGAGATAACAAATGAAATATTTTATGCCAGTGATTTAGTTGTTCGGAAAATGAGAAAACAAAGGAAAATTATGATAATTTAACTGAGTTGTGGTTGTTTTTTTATTAGATGGATGTGGTTTTGTTGAGAAGATAAATGAAATATTTTTTCTCGGTGATCTCGCTATTTGGTTAATGAGAAAATGAAGGAAAATTATCGTTCAACAATTACGGAAGAAATATTGTTAAAGAATTATTATAAAACAAATAAAAAAATGACTACTATTAAAATTAAAATTAAAATTAGTTAGGCTTAATTTTGACGAGGGCAAATTTATCCATGCAAATAATTATTATGTCTTATATCATTCCGTTTTCAAAGTCAAGCAAACATAAAACTGGACTTAATACATTACATCCCACCCAATCTAATCCAATTTTATCTTATCAATTTCATCTAATCCAATCTTAACCCACATTTCAAACGGGCTTTAAAGCATTGGGCTTAGAAAGGAGGTAAAGTAAATGTCTTTTTCGTTAATGCCAAATATATTCTTAAACTTTTAATTTTTGTCAATTTTAGTCCTTAAATTATTTTTTTATACTTTTTTCATCTCTCAATTATAAAAAAAAATATACTTTTTAATTATTTCATTTATTTTCTCCATTAAGACTGTCCAATTAGCATTTTTTAATTTTTTTAATGATCTAAATATGGATAAATAAAAGTTTAAAAACTAAAAATATACAACAAATATTAATTTAAAAAATGTACACTAAATAAAAATTTAGAAAAAAAAACCAACTGTATAAATTTAACATAATAGTTTAAAATCAAAATTAATCAAAATTAAAAATTTTCAAACTAAATTTGGCATTTAATCCTTTTTTAAGATGTTAAACCGTTAAAGTCAACTAACATCCCGATGCATTGATATTTTATTCATTAATATCCTTATACTAACAAAATACCTCGTTATCATTCTTCTACTCTCAAACAATATTCATGATTGTCCCTCTACTCTCAAAAATGTTCATAATCATCCTTGTGAATTCTGACGATGACGCTATTTGCCTATATTTCCATCTGTCTAGTTTGACCATTAACTCCCAACAATGCACAATTTAAGCATATTTCGTTTCATTTTAATAGTTTTAATTTAATTTTTTAATTTTTTAAATAAAATTTTATATAAAAATTTAATAATTAATATAAACAATAATAAAATTGGTTTAAGAAAATTTTCATTAAAAAAGTTAGTTAAAGATTAATTTTATTTGAAAATTTTTCACTTAAAATGGTTAACAAATTATTATATAAAAAATTAAAAATTATTATATAAAAAGATAATAAATTTTATACTAAAATTTTTTTAAAAAATTTATTTAGTTGTTAATTTTTTTATTTTTTATAAAATGGTGATGTTAAAAAAGTTACTATTATCATTATAGGTACTAAACCTCAGGTCGTGCTTTGCGCACTACATCTATTTAAAAAATTCATTAATTATAAATTTTATAATAATAATTAAATATAAATATATCTTAAAGTATTATTTTTAATAATTAGTAAATTTAAATATATTAATTCATATAAAAAGTCTAAATAACAGCTATGAAAAAATATTTAAGTGTGCAAATATAATTCATTTAATTATAAAAAATAAAGACAAATTTTCATATTTTGTTATTATATTAATAAATTGGATAATGCTTGACAGCCAAGACTCCTCAAATCGACTCGAGACGGATAGACGGGTGGTCCATCCATTTTCTTCATTTATTTTATGAATAAATTACTAATTGGTCTCTGCATTTGGTAGATTGATATCATTTTAATTCTTTAGTTTCTTATTGTTATAATTTTAGCATCTAAGACTTATAAAAGTTTAGGGTTTAAATTCTTTAGGGTTTAAGGCTTGTGTGTTAGGATTTAAATTTAACAGTGCTTAGAATGTTAGGGTTTAAATTTTTTTATAATTTAATTTTACAAAAGTTAAGGTTTAGATTTTGTAGAATTTAGTGCTTGGGGTGTTAGGATATAGATTTTTTTAAAGGTTTAGTATTTAAGGTGTTAGGTTTTAAATTCTTTTTAGATTTCATATTTAAGGTTTAAGGTTTAACATTTTGAGATTTAGGATTTAATAGTTTAAATATTAAAAATTAAAAGACCTAAAAATAAAAAATAGAGCCTAAGAAGGCAAAAAAGTATAAAAGTTATAGCGATTATTAGCCTTTGAATCGATTAGCCCTTAAATCAATTGGCCGTTGCAACATATTGTTGATGCCAATTCCTGTAAAGGGTCAAATGTGAATTCAGTAATTTCTATGTCATCAAGACCTATCTCAATCTAAGTGCCAAGATGTACTATTTTGACTCTATTGAATTCAATTATCATTAACCTCCATTTATACTGCTAAAAACAAAGCGAGCTCAACATGCCTTACACCACTACAATTGT